TATATGGATAATATGAAAGGTAAGCTCATGCAGAAAAATAAGCCGCCCACTGCTCACAAACCATTCTGCCCCGGTTACCCAGTGGGTCTACAGCCTGTCTCAGCAGAACCACCACCTCCCATTACCCCAAGTAGGTCATTCATTAGAAGACAGTTCTCTGCCCTTTCTGGGTAAGTAACAGCACAGAGCATGTTGTCCCTAATAGAGCAGACACCAAACTAGCCAGAGGGTGGAGGAGGGCAGGTGTCCTTGGCACGGCCAAGAAAGCCTGGAGAGCTGAGGCACAAAATGTGATCCTCGGGCCCCTCGGTCCTTCCCTCCCCAACCATGAATGGGTGACAGAAAAACACAGGAGCCACTGGTTTTCTAAGAAGATGCTGTATTTAATTAATGCCTTCCCTTCCCCCACCCAAGACATTTCCCTACAGAGCAGGAGCCAGGACAGGCCCCTTAAGGCAGACGGTGTGGAAGTAACAAACACAAGGCACTGGCCTGGAAAGAGGGGTGCAGGCAGGTGGGCCAAGCCCCAGTCATTAGGAGAAGTGCAGCAGCAGAGACGCAGGGACCGGTTCGGTCTTCCAGTGCCAAGAATGAGAGCTGCCCTACCGAGAACCTGGTCCCCTGCTGGCCAGCTGCAGCCCTACTTGCTTCCTATGGGCCCTTTCCAGATGGCAGCAAGCCTGAGCAGGAGCCAGAAAGGGCCACAGCCCAGGGGCAGACCTAGGGCACCCCTAAGCCACCGCCCCAACCTGATTCCTTACAGGAAGGCAGCGATTCTCCAGCGCCCCACAGGTCTCAGTGGGCTCCAGCCTCCAGCCTCCAGCCAAGCTTCTGCTATACGGGAATGCAGATGCCCCGGCCAGGCCCCGCAGCTCCAAATGCTGCAATAGGGGCTGTCACCGAGTGGACCTTGGGCTCAGCCAAGCAGCCTCAGGACCCTGCTGCGCTTCCCCCAGGCCTTCCCCACGGCAGGGAGTCCTCCACACACTCGGGTCAGGAGCAAGCACCCAACTGTGCCATTGGTGAGTCCAGCAGCAGCAGCAGCAGCAGCAGAATAGCCCCCGGCCATGAAAGCATCTAGGGTTTGCTAGTACAAGACGAGTGCGTGACCATCAGGTGACAGAGGGAGTGGCTGCAGACTGCTAAGGCCAGCGACATTCCCCTGAAGCTGCTTCTCTTCTCAGGTCTCCCCACCCCTTGCTCCCTCCCCTGGGGAAGGGGCTTCCTGTCCTCTACTGCTCCCTACCCCCAGCCACCCTCACCTGTCCTCTGCTTCTGCACAGGTCAGGTGCTGGGCTCTCCCCACTTCCCTTCCCACCCCTCTGCTGGCCCGCACACCCTTAGTCTGAGGAGCACTGCCACAGTCTGTCCAAATCTCCTCGCACAGCATGCACTCTCCAGAGGCCTCTGTCCCCCCTCCAGGGGGGGAGTGGGAGGGGAGGGGCACGTCTCTCTGGTCTCTTCACCCTGCCCACTGTGCAAGGCCACACTGCGCTCACCTGCGATGGGCCCACTGCCTTCCAGACCCCACCCCCCCACCAGGGTCACCCCCAGCTATGCTTTCAGTTCCAAGTGAGTGCCTCCAGGAGGGCTTAGATGAATGCCCTAAGGGTGGCCAGCAGCTCAGTGGCTACCTGGAGAGACAGGTGCTTGGAAGCATAAGCCTGGGCTAGGGCCAGAACTGCTAGACGGGACAGTGCCCAAGGGCCACACTGCAGCACACAAGTAGGCCTGAGGTTTACAAGTAGGGACACCCTCCAGCACACCCTCCCCTAGTAGACGCCAGGTCTGTATCTCAGTTCAGGTCAACACTCCTTATGACAGGCTTGGGGGACTCCAGAATGCACCTCCAGGGATGAGGACAGAATTGTTCGAACGTGTGTCTTCTCCCTGCCTTCACTGTGCCATCTTCTCAGGAGCCATCCATCAACTGAGCGAGGGGCAGAGGGGCCCTGGCGTCACTCTCCACTGCAGGGCAGCTCCCGGTGGAGAGACGCTCAGCACCGAGGCCTCTTGGGCCCAGGTATCCTCTGCCCCCATCTTCCCTCTCCTCTACAGGGAGCAGGGCACGGGAAGCGGCCCCCTCACGGAGCCACAGGGTGGGCCTCAGGGCATCTTCACTTGACGGCGGTTCCACATGCCTCTCTTGGAATGGAAGTGATGGAAGAAATTCCTGAGGGAGAGACGCTCCACTTCCAGGCCTGCTTGGAGGATCCTGAGGAGAACAAGGAGTGAGATGAGCCCTCAGTCCTGGGAATGGACCCTTCCCCTCAGACCTCCAACCCCTCTTAGGGAACGTCCCACAGGACAAAGGAAGTAGGTACAGGGTGGCCAGAGGCCAGGCAGCCAGCTGGGGCTGGAGTGCCAGCTCTCTCCCAGCCTGTGCACGGCACAGCATCTGTCAGAGCCTGTTCACCACCTCTAGAGAGGGGACACTACACATACGCCCATCTCTGCATCTGGGCCCACCACCTCTAGTCTCATTCCTGACATGGATACACACATATGTAGGGATGAAGGACACCCAGAGACTGCAGGTCACCTGCCAAGACTGCCCTCTATGGGGCAGAGCCCTGGAGCCATACAGCTCATCCCAGGCCCACCCTGTCCTGCTCTGTTCTATGCTCTTTTCTTCCTTCCTTTCTTTTCTTTTTCTTTCTTTAACAATACTGGAGATGGCCTCTAAGCACACGCGTGCCAGGCAAGTGCTCTGACACTGGGCACATCCGGCCTGTGCTGCCCCTTGTCTATATGTGCCGCCCACTAGGGGGCAGTTTCTTTCTTGCTGGGCCCCAGAGAGAGCAAGAAGAGCCGGAAGTACACGGAGCTCCGCACAGAAGCATGAAGCCCAGCGGTGCGGTAACTGCAGCACAGCGCCTTCTCGAAGCACAGCTCCAGGCTGCTGCGATCTAGCTGTGTGAGACCTGAGCTACCTTCACTCCCTTGCCTTCCCCCCTCAATTCTCTTAGTATTGTATTATCACCACGCTTTTCTTTCTTCCCTCCATGGGAAAACCACAAATAGCTGCCCTTTAAGCCGCTGAGACTTTAGTAAGAGAGGTTTGGGGCAAAACTATTAACCACTCTCTACTATGACTTAGTTTTCTTCTCTGAAAAATGGGGACACTTGCACCTACTAACAAGGTTACTTGTGTGACGCTTCTGCGAAGCGCAGGTACCAGTGACACTGGCTGCACCCTGCCCTGGGACTCAGGCTACCTTCCCTGCCAGGTCCTCTTTCTCATCAACCTCTTCCAAGCTTCTGACATTTACACCCTTTCTTTCCCCCTTCTGTCCTGTTTCTTCCTCTTAGGATCAAAGCTCGAGGTAACACACTTTTCCCTTTCCCTTCCTCTAGTGCAACTTCTTTCTGACCCAGGGTCCACCCACTACCGTACCCTGGGCTGGCTGATCTTCCTGCCTCAACCTCTTAAGAGCTGGGATCAAGGGTGTACGCTACCATCCCTGGAGACAGCAGACTTGTTGAATGAGTAATCTTGCGCAGATGCAGGGAGAAGCTTCCTCACCACCACACGTTCTTCCCTCCTTGCCAAGCCCACCATTTGCACCGAGTACTGAATACCATGTCCCTGTCTGCCCTCAGGCCATACTCCTGCACCGCTGGCCTCCAGGAGCTCAGGGCCCCTGTGAACCTCCCGCCTTCTAACAGTCCACACCAGCTCTCTTGCTGGCCCAGGCAGCTTCCCTGACCTTAGCCTGTGTCAACTTCATCTCTCCTCTAGGCCCTGGTGGGGAGAAGAGCTGGCCAGGCTCACCTTCTCCACCAGAGCTCCTGCCTGGTGCTGAGAACCCAGCTACTTGCATTTTCATGGCTTGTTTTTGGTTTTCCTCTGCCAGCTTACCAACCTTTAACTTTAGTGTCAGACCAGCCCTGTGACCCAGTGTGAGCAGGAACTGAGTATGAGCCACCCCAAAGCACTGAGATGTGTGACCTCAGTGCCACTGAAGTCATCCCTCCCTGTCCCTCCCCCAAGCACCGTGCTGAATGGAGTCCCAGTAGCCCCCGTGGACACTTCCTGCCCCGTCACCTGTCAAGCAGCTCCCAGTCTTCTCCGCCCCAGCGATCCCGGAACTCCTTGGTGTTCATGCCCCCGATCTTGTCCAGGTCTGACTTGTAGATGCCAAGCAGTCCAAACCCATTCACCTCCCAGTAGCCTGTGGATGGCCAAGAATCTGCGGTGAGCCAAGCTGGGGCCAGGAGAAGGAGGACCACAGAGGTCCCTGGCTGTGTACCAGAGGTGCTTCTGAAGACAGGGGTTGGGGTAGCATGGGCCGAAAGCTGTCTCCACTAAGCAAACATCTTGCCTATGGGGGTGGAGGTCCTGACCTGAGGTTCAGGGTTCAGCCAATGCGGAGTGACCCAGGCTGCTCTCGGGGCCTGCGGTCAGATGCGACAGCAGCAGCCCCTTGGAGTTATTGTCCACGTCTCTCTCTACAGGCAGGGAGCCTCTGGCCATGATGCCCACAGTGTCCTAGGGCCCAGCAGCCACACATAAGAGGTGCTCCCCGTGTCTGACAAGCACGTGAGGGGAAGAGGGCAGGAAATGTTCACTGCCGCACTGGCTGCTCCAGGGGACGCTCCCGGGGGGCGGGGTGGTACCAGGTGCTGGCACTTGTCACTGTGCTCGTAGCTCTGAGGTTAGGAACCATGTAGGACACTTTCCTTCCTCCCCAGCACAGGGCAGGGCTCACCCTCAGGCCACCAAGGGGTGGCCCCGCAGTGCAGCCTCATCACCATGGGGGCAAAGGCCATCTTGCCCTCCACACAGTGCTTCCGGATGGTATCGATGACTCCAGGCGGGAAGTAGATGTGGAGGTCGCAGAGGAAGATGATGCTGTGAGGGTCCTGGGGACAGAGCAGTGGGGTTGCCAGACCCTTAGGACTCCTAGGAGAACCCTGAGGCTCTACCCTGTTGGAACAACCAGCAAACCTCTACACACCCACCGCTGGGCAGATGTCCACGGCCAGGGCCATGGAGACACATCAGACAGTGTCTCACCATAAGACAGTAGCCCTGGGCAGTTAAGCAAATGCTCCACTGTCATTTGCTTAGTCCCACGCTGCTGCTGGGCCCAAAGCAGCAGAGAAGACGCTCCTGGTTGTGGTTTGGGAAAGAGTTCCCGGAAGGGCCATGGGTTAAACACTCAGTCCCCAGACTGTGGAGCTATTGGCAGATGGCGGAACCTTTGGGAGGTCAGTGCTGTGGAGGAAGTGGCCTTGGAGGAATGACTGGGATGGTGGGCACTTCCTGTCTGTCTTTTTCACTTCTCCGCCATCACAAGGAGAGCAGCATCCTCTCCCACCATGATGTATTGTGCTGCCACAGCCCCAAAAGCAATGGGGCCAACGCACTGTGGGCTGAAACCATGACTCAAAATAAACCTTCCCTGCCGTTAAGATGATTCTCTCAGCTATTTGTTACAGTAAAGTGAAGCTGACCAACACACTCTCAGGTCCCTATTTCCTCCCCCACTGAAGGGCTCACTACCTTACACAGCACACAGTTCCCTCTACCTCTTAGCCAATTTCCTGACCCTTTTCCAGGCCAGTTACCTTCACCAGGTCAATGCCAGCCTGAAGTCCAGCAGAGCGCTCAAAGTTACCAGTGAGCCTCACGTACTGGTAGCTGCAGAAGGAAAGAAAGGACAAGCTGAATGCTAGGAGTCGTTGTCAGGGACCCCAGAAGAGACAATAAATGCAACTGCAGTGGGATTACAGGCAGGGATCCCTGAAAGAACTAAAGAGTAGAATCCAGGGAAGCTGGGTGGGGCAGCTCATCCCTGGACCCAGCAGTGCTAGGACTTCAGAAAGGAGGCGCCCAGGCTGTGCCCTGACGTGGAACAGGGAGGTGGGGAAGGGGTGTCCTCACCTCCGCAGCTTGGACCTCTTCAGGGCCATCTCAACATCCATGTCCTCACTGCTGTAGTCAGTGATGATGACGCTGAAGTGGGGGTCACCAGTGACCCGGAACAGGTTCTCCATGTCTCTGATGAACTGCTGCACCCAGCGCGCCTGGTTCTTCACTACCCCAGTGTGCCAGGCAAAAAGAAAGAGAGGTAAGGAAAGGGGAAGGGCTCTGCTCTCAGCTCCCCTGGGATCAGGAGTCCCCACCGGGCCCCTACTGTGAAGAAAACAACTTTCAGTAAGCCACAAGCAATACACCAGAGGCCTGAAGGACAGCAACTGCTCGCCGTGAAGGGGCTTCCGTCTCGGGCTCCCTGCACAGCTCACAGGCATGCCCAAAAGAGGCCCTGGGCTGGGGTCACAGCACTCCACCAGGCTCTGACGGTCAACCTTCCTATCACTCACAATTTCCTGTCCTAGCCCACACCTACCTCCCTGCCTGTCATCATCAAAACCACTTGGGGCTTCGGATGTGGCTCAGTAGCCGCGCGCTTGCCAAGCATGTGCAAGGCCCTGGGCTCCGCGCCCAGCACCAAAATCTAAAACCACTCTCTCTAGCTCTCTTTGCGTCGTATTTCAACAATGGCCCCAAGTGACAGTCACAACCTGAAACCTAGTCTGAAAGAAGGAGCTCTAGCCTTCGAGTCATTATCTAGTCTCAGCTCCTCTCCCTGGCTGTCACCTTAAGGGTGCTCCTTCTCTTTGCTGAGCCTCGGTTCCTCTCTTGGGATCTCAGGAGATCGAATCAGGGGAAACTGCCTTTGCGCCATGGTAACTGCCCCGCAGAAGCTCACCGGGCACAATGAAGTGGACCACGGCTCGGTGATTCCAGGAGAAGCCCTGGGGCCAGCACAGCTTGGGCTCTGGATCACGGACGTCCAGGACATGCCTTCGCCGCTGGCTGTGGGGGGTCCAGACCAGGCCCTGAAGGTTCCGGGCCTCAGCCTCCTCTGCACCAGCGGGGTCGATGCCCTGCCAGCCGCGTGTAGACACATACTCAGACAGCCTCACCAAGCGCTGGCCTTGTTCCAGCAGCTCGAGCTCCAAGAGGTAGCGGCCCCCACGCAGCTGGTCCTGACGCTTCTCCACATTCACAATGCGCTGCAGCTGGTATCTCCTGCGGCAGACAGGGTGGGGCCTGAGTGAGTCCTCCCCACGATGCAAGGACAGCCCTGTGTGCCGGAAGCCCACAGGCCCACTGCCAGGAGATCCAGCTTTGCCATTGGCTAGGGGTAGGGACTCAGGCAAGATGCCCAGCCTCTACGTCTCACAGGCTCCATCTTCAAATTGTACCACTGAGCTCGATCACCTCCATGAGCTTTTGCAGCTCTGAGATCCTAAGTAGACAGAGTAAATGGGGTCACGGAGGAGAGGCTCCTGGAGAAACAGACCCTCGATAGTAAACATGCTCTGCTCAAATGAAAAATTTGTAAGGCACAATGGGTTTCTGCAAAAGTGTTAAATGGTTAGCTTGTTATCATGATAGTTAAAAATCACAAGCGGTATGCTAGTAACAGAAAAAGCAGACACACAGACTGATGGAACAGAATAGAGAACCCAGAAATAAATCCAGCACCCTTGAAAAGGCCTCATGCTGGAGAGAAGACCATCCTTTTCGACAAAGCGTGGTGGAGAAGGTGGATGTGCGTACACAGAAGAATAAAGTTAGACCTCTATTTCTCACTGTATACAAAAACCACCTCAAAATAAATCGGACTTAAATGTAATGCTTGAAACTATGATGCTTCTAGAAGAAAACACAGGAGCAATACTTCAGGACACTGCATGAGGCAAAGCTCTTCGGCTACTACTTCAAGAGCACAGGTGACAAAAGCAAAAGTTGGCAAACAGAGCCAGGGACATAGCTCAGTGGAATAAGTGCTTGCCTGGCAAGCGCAAGGTCCTGAGTTTGATCCCTAGTACCATCCAAAAAAAAAAAAAAAAAACAAGCTGATGAATAGAATTACATCAAACTAAAAGGCTTCAGCGCAGTAAGGGGAATATTCAACAGAGTGAAGAAACAACCTCTGGAAGTGGGTTGCAAATGGCTCATCCTGTAAGAGATCAACATCAACCACCCATCCAGAGTATAAAGGACTCTCAAAATACACCATCTGCTTCACAGCTATGCAAATGACCTGAATGGATAGTTCATTTTTATTTGTTTGCTTTTGTGATACTGAAGATCAAACCCAGGAAGGCTCCCTCCACTTCTGAGCTATGTTCCCAAGCTCCCTTTTTAAATTTTAATTTGAAGTAGGGTCTTCTAAGTCATTAAATTGCCCAGACTGGGTGCAAACTGGTGATCCTACCGTCTCAGCCTACCAGAGTCCTCTGGTTTAAAGGAAACAAGCTAACACATCCTTGTCTAAATAAACAATTTTTAAAGAATCTATACATGGGGAAGGTGGCACGTACCTGTAATTGCAGCTACTGGGAGAGTGAGGCAGAAAGGTCACAAATTCAGGGCCAGTCTAGACTACACAATGAGACACTTTCTCAAAAATAAAACAATATAAACTGTAAAGAAAGAGGATATGGATATAGCCAGAGTCTACAGAGAAAAGGCTTGGCCAGTCTTGGTGGTAAGATGATTGTAAAGCTAGCCCTCTGAGAGGCTGAGGCTGGAGATGTCAAATTTGAGCCTATTCTGAGCAACTTAGCAATTTGGCAAGCCCTTGTCTCAAAATTAAATACATTAAAACAAAAAGGCTGGGTAGATATCTCAGCACAAAGGTTTTTGAATTTGATCCCCAGTATTGCAAAACAAAACAAAATGCTCAACATCACCAATTATCAAGGAAACAGGAATCCAAATCACAGGGTCAAAAAGAAATGAGAAAAAAAAAACATGCTGAGGAAAACACGGAGGAAGGAATGTCAAACACAGCTGGTGGGAAAGTACTGTAGTATAGCCACTGAGGAAAGCCGTACAGCAATTCCCCAAAAACTAGAAATAAAGCAGTTACAGGCAACACATTCCTATAATCCTAGGACTCCTGAGAGGCTGAGGCAGGAGGGTTGCCCAGTTTGAGCCCAACCTGGCAACTCAGTGACCTTGTCAGACCTTATTTCAAAATAAAAAACAGAAAAAGCAGGCTGGGGAGCAGCTCAGTGTGAAGTCCCTGGCTTCAATCCCTAGTACCAAAAGTAAAACAAAACACCTCCCTCCAAAAAACCCAAATCTGAAATCAAACCAAAAAACAGAACTGAACACCCAAACTAGTACTAGCACTATCACGTGGTCCAGCAACCCTGCTAGAGGATACACACCCAGAGGACTGAGGACAGTGAATCAGAGACACCCGCGTTCACAGGTTTACTGCAGCACCAGCACAACAGCCAAGATAGCAAATCAATCATAGTGTCCACCAACAGATGAATGGGCAAAAACAAGGCAGTGGGCATGCATGCTGATACTCCACGGGAATATCATTTAGCTGTGCAAAAGAATGAAACTATTCTGTCATGTTCAGTAATGTGGATGGAACTGAATTACATTATGTTAAGTGAAATCAGTCAGACACAGAAAGACAAACATCGCACATCTGCCCTTACATGCGGAAACTAAAAAGCTGATCTCATAGAAGTAGAGGGTAGAAGAGCGGTTACCAGAGCGGGGGAAAGACGCAGAGAAGGCAAAGATGGAGACAGGATGGCTAACAGGTACAGGGATGCAGCTGGGTAGGAGGGATAACTGCTAATGTTCTACAGTGCAGCAGTGTAGCTATGGTGGAAAAGCACTCTTGATTATTTAAAAATAGTCAGCAGAGGATATGTCCAAAGCTCCCAACACAAAGAAACAACGTCTGAGGTGACACGTATGTCAGTTTCCCTCCTTTGGTCATGTGTTAAAATGCTATGCACATATATAAGCATTAACACCCCATAAATATGCATAGTTACTATGCATCAATTAAAAGTAAAAATATGGGGCCCGGGGAGATTACTCAGTAGAATAAGTGCTTGCCTGGCAAGCGCTGGGTCCTGAGTTCAATCCCCGATACCACAATAATAAATAAAAATATGACACCTGCCGTGCTACCACTTGCGTGGGACCTGACGTAGGAGGATCAAGAGTTGGAGGCCAGCCTGGGCAACTGAGAACTTGACTCAAATGAGAGAGTAAAACACTGTAGTTATAGGCCTGTGGGACAGCACCCCAGCTGTCATCTCCAGTACTGTCATGATTATGTGACTGGTGGAGAACGGAAATAATGTCTAACTACACCGAAGGAAAAGTTTTAAGCCAACAGCATTATGTATTAACTATTCACATCAGCTGACTGGGTTAAGCAGGCTTTATGACAAACTGTATGGACGACTCGGTGCACAGTGCCACCAGCAGAAAGTGCACCTTTCTGCCTGAGAACTGAACGTATTTTCACTACATTTAAGAAAGTACATTTCCTTTTTTAAAAAAAAAAAAGAAATCGGGGCTGGAGAGATGGCTCAGTGGTCTAAAGCACCTACTTAGAACAAGCT